TAACTTGGCTCTCTTGAAGGGCTCCCCGCCTTGCCTCCCTTGGGACTGAGGTGGGTGGTGGGCTACATAGCCCAGACTCACCTGCATTGGCTGTGGTGAGAAAACCCATACAGAGAACCAAGAAGTGGTAGAGAGGCGCCATTGTCCTGGGGGACACCAAGGGTCAAGAAATGTGTTCCCTCGTTCCCCCCCACCATTGGGACTTGAACCCAGGGGGTTAAATCAGAGTCCAGGGGTTTGATTCCAAAAGTGTCCATCATCCAACTTGGCCACTGGGAGAAACAGGGGTACCCCCCGCTTCATGCGGACACAGTGTCACCAAAACAAGTCACAGTGGGGGTTGTACGACACACAGCAAGGGCAGGGGTGAGACACACAGTCTACAGGGGTCTCCCACAGGCCCGGGCCTCCCCACAGCAGGCCCCAGATGCCCCACACCTACCCCATGGGAAGAGCAGGATGGCTCGCCCCACCCAGGTGGAGAGACAGACACACGCGGTGAGGGATGAGGGACGATGCAGGCAGGACCTGCCCAAGGGTCCACCTGCCCGCACACCAGGGCCTCCCTGTGTCCGCATAATATCCCAGTTCTCCTGCCCTCGGCCGCGGGCCCGCTCTCTGCCTGACCCTGGGTATAAATATCTCCCACTTCACCCTGGAGGAATTTGCCTCACACAGGCCACCATGGCAACAGCCTTCCTTCCCCCACTCGGGGGTCATGCACAACCCTGCTGGGGTGAGGCCTGGCTGCCACACGGCTCCAGGCTGCTCCTGTGGGAAAGGCCACCCCTTCTCATCTTCTGGAAATGATGAGAACGGGGAAAAACATCCCCTCTGCCTGCCTCTGGGTGATATCTTTCATGGGCGGACACGGCCAGGCAAGTGGCATGAGGCCCAGAGCAGAGGGGCTGAGAGACAGAAGACAGATGCCAGGGGCAGGGACACACACACACACAGACACACACACACTCAAGCACAGGCAGTGGGGCTGGAGTGGAGACAACACCCATTCCCCCCAAACGCCTGGTTGGAGCAAGCTGTGGGGTGGAGACAGTCACTGAAACGATACTCTTCATCTGAGCCTCCAGTGCCCCCAAATTGTGACGCAACCCGACCTACACACATGAGTGTCCGAAACCCACCCCAGCCAGGGTGCACACGCAGCGGGAGGGGAGGGGGACGTTGTACCCACACGCCCACTCCTGGGGAACCCCACCATCCCACCCACGCTCCCTTCCTCTTGGGTCTGGCCTGCCTGGGAAGCCACGGGCTGGCCACTCCTGCTCCCAAAATAGGTGGCCCAGCCAGGCGAGGGGTGAGGCCTGGAGGGGAGGGCAGGGGACGCTCACCCCAATCAGGCTGTCCCCTGCTGAAAGGCCCCCAAACGTCCGGCTGTGCCGGGGGTGAGCACTTTGGACCCCCTGGCCCAGAGCTGGACTGCGCCCGCCCTCAGCGGTCTCCCCTCCCAGCCCCACCCCACCCCTACCCTCCCCAACCAGCAGCTGTAACTGGAGCCGGGGCTGGAGGGGGGCCAGGGGGCGGCCCCCAGCCCAGACCGCCCTGGCCCGCTAGGTTAACTCTCTCAGCTCAGATGGAGGAGCCGCAGGAGATGCGTCGGGATGGCTGGAGAAGGGCCGCGCTGGCAGGGAGGACAGGACCCCGGACACACACACATGCCCGCACGCACGTACCCACGCTCGGGCCTCAGGCCCACCTCCGAGAGCTTCCGCCCCGCGGTGGGAAGGTGGGTGTCAGTGGTTTTCTGTGAGATCCCTGCGGATGGGGCCCAGTCGGGGCCTAAGGTCACCCCGTCTGAGCGCTTGGGAGCCCACTGACCCCTGACCCCAAGGTTCTGCGGGGACCTGGGCGGCACCACAGGACTATTGTGGGGTCATTTCAGCGTGTGTGTATGTTGTCTGCTGCTGACTGTGAGGGCCCCCAGGAGGGCACACCACACACAGAAACCTAAAGATCTTGCTTATCTAGGCACAAAACCAAACAAAATACAGATGTGTCCCCACAGACAAACACAGAGGCAGATATACAGAGAATAACACACGGTGGGGAAACCCAAAGACACACCCACACAGCCAATACTCCTTACACCAGTCACAAAACACCAACAGATACATTTGCGTATGCACGCAACACACACACACTCATTCTGATGGACACCGGACAGAGACACAAAGACCTCGCCACACACGTCCACCCTTACAGATGGTCACACTCTGGTGAAGACATACAAATGGCTGTACAGAAACACACTGATGGACGCCGGGGTGGCTCAGTCGGTTAAGCGTCTGCCTTCGGCTCGGGTCATGATCCCTGGGTCCTGGGTTCGAGCCCCGCATCGGGCTCCCTGCTCTGCGGGGAGCCTGCTTCTCCCTCTGACCCTCCCCCGTCTCATGTGCTCTCTCTCTCAAATAAATAAATAAAATCTTTAAAAAAATAAAATAAAATAAAATAAAATAAATGAATGGGGGCACCTGGTTGGCTCAGTCGGTTAAGCGACTGCCTTCGGCTCAGGTTGTGATCCTGGGGTCCTGGGTTCGAGTCCCGCATCGGGCTCCCTGCTCTGCGGGGAGCCTGCTTCTCCCTCTGACCCTCCCCCCTCTCATGTGCTCTCTCTCTCAAATAAATAAATAAAATCTTTAAAAAAATAAAATAAATGAATGGGGGCACCTGGTTGGCTCAGTCGGTTAAGCGACTGCCTTCAGCTCAGGTCATGATCCCACGGTCCTGGGATCGAGTCCCGCATCGGGCTCCCTGCTCTGCGGGGAGCCTGCTTCTCCCTCTCCCACTCCCCCTGCTTGTGTTCCCTCTCTCGCTGTGTGTCTGTCTCCCTGTCAAATAAATAAATAAATAAATAAAAAGAAAGAAAGAAACACACTGATACAGCACACATAAATACACCCCACAGCGCAGGCGCACAGCTGGCCCTCCTCCAGTTTCAGGGATGGGAAGGCCACACACCGCGCACATACGCACCCGGGTGTCTACACGCACTTCCGTGAGCACAAAGAGAAGCAGAAATGCCCCCAAGGACACCGCCACACGACCCGCCACTCTTACACATAACCACAAAAACAGACACACACAAACTGTGTTCATACCCGCCTGCACGGGCCAACAGGGCCCTGTCACAGGCCGACAGGCCTACACACTTGTGACACACCACCAAATGTGTGTTGACACGTTTAACCCCAAACCTCCCCTTTCCTGATCTCACGTGGCCTGTGGGACTCTGTGCTGTTGAATAACACACACGCTGTCCTCACACGCGGGCCAGACTCACGGGCTCTGGTGACAGAGAAAGCTGGTGCCAGGTCTGAGCTCTGCCACTCCTGGTTGTGCGACCTTGAGCAGCCCATGTGACCTCTCTGTGCCTCCGTTTTCTGTCCCATCAAATGGAGAAATCACCGAGATCACACGTATAACACTGGGCCAGGCTCAGAGGTCTCTGAACCCAACACAGGCTTCTTATTAACTCCATTTTAGAGATGAGCAAACCGAGGCTTAGGAAGGTGGAGCTAATTCTCCTGAGGTCCCTGGTGGTTAAGGACAGAAACTGCCCCTACCCTGAAAGGGTCAGACACGGGCTCAGACTCTGGAGGACACAGAGTGGGGAGCACGTGGGCATGCTCATACTCAGGCACAGGCATAGAGAGCCCGGACACACACACGCAGGGGATCCGCCTCAGAGGACCCAGGGGGCTTTGAAATGCACCCTCATCCTTGTACGGCTGCGCCTCTGCCCCTCATGGCCCTGCACCCCAGGGTCACCGGCAGTCTCTGGTTAATGATAACCCTGATGTTTATGCAGCCCTGGGGAGGGCTGACAGAGAAGCAGGGAAGGCAAGCAGGGCTGGGGGCACCTGGCCAGCTCCAGCCCGTCCTTGGCTTCTCCCCCTCACAAGGCCCACTGTTCCAGAGTGGAGCAACTCAGCCACTTTCTACCTGGGTGATGCTGGGCACATGACGTAACCACTCTGAGGCTCAGTTTCTCCTTCTGTAAAATGGGGATAAACTCGTAGTCAGCTCAGAAGGAAGCTGGTGCTGTTAAGTCTTCTGGGTATGTGCAGCCGTAGCCAGAGAAGCTGTGTGTTTTCCTCAGGAGCCGGAGGAGAGTGGTTAGGTTTAGATCTGTCCAGGGCCATGAGGTGAATCATTCAACCTCCTCGTGCCTCAATTTTCCCATCTGCAAAGTGGGGACCAGTAGTATGGGACCCACCTCATGGGGCCGTTGTGAGAACTGAATAAATTCATGTTAAGTCAGGCATACAGGAAGTGCTCAATGATTATTATTACTGCTGTTTCAGGTTGGGTAACAGGTGTCATTTTTTTATTTTTCTTATTTAATGGGCAGAATCTATCGAAATTGCTAAAAGCTTAGTCCAAATGAAAACGACCAGTATCCATGAGTTCAAATCTCCCAAGAAAGAACACAAAAATCACGCAGAGAGGCCCTGGAGCCGGCTTCCTGGGCTTGAGCACTGGCCCTGCCCCAGCTGGTAACCCAAATCTCAAATTAACTTGACCTCTCTTCTCAGTGTTTCCATCTGTAAAATAGCCATATAATAAGATCAACCTCAGAGGGTTGTGATGAGGTCGGCGTGAGCCGATAGACCAAGTTTTAGGACAGGGCCTAGTGCAGAGCCAACGCTGAGGAAGGGGGGGTGGCATCCTCACCATCATTTTTCCCCTGAGTTGGTTCCTTGTCCCAGTGGGTGGTGGGTACGCAAGGGGTTAATTTCAGGCTGGCGAGGGAGGCTGTGGGTTTGGGGCTGGGCAGCTGCCCTGCTGAGTGTGGCCACCAGAGGGAGCAGCTGGACCCCTCTAAGCCTTGGTGACCCGGCACATCACACCCTCTTGGGAGCCCGGGGAGGGGGCTGGCTGGGCGTGGCCAGGATGGCTCCAGCCCCCCAGTGGTCTCTCCTCCCACCCCCTCCGCCTGCCGAGCCATCCAGTCCCCACCCTGGAGACATCCTCCTCACACTCCGAGTGGGGTGGAGTGGGGAATCTGGGGAGGGGGCTGGCTGAGAGGGGTCAGGGCAGCTCCAGCCCTTTGTGGCCCCTCCCCTCCCATGGGGCCATCCAGTCCCTTCCTTAGGGCTGCTCTTCCTACGGCCTCTGACCCCCCTCCTCCTTCTTAGGCTGCATTGCCGGGCGCACCCAGTGCCCAGGGAGTCCCTTTCCCAAACCTCTAAGGAGAAGGGGCGTGGGAGGAGGGGAAGAGCAGGGAACTGGAAAGGGTGGTGAGAAATAAAGACACCAGACAGCGGGACGCGCGCGCACACACCAACAGAGATTGAGAGACAGAGACAGAGAGACAGACGGAAATAAAGACAGAGAGTGGGAAGCTGACTAACTCACTGAGTCAGAAACACAAAAAGAGAGAGAGACAGAAAAGGAAAGAGAAATAGACAGAAAATTAGACACCAGAGGGATACAGGAAGAGAGAGAGGCTGAAAGAGAGACGGAGAAAGGAGAGACAAGCCGGGACAGAGCGTGCCAGCTGGCGGGATGGAGGGTCGCCTGGGGCGGCAGATGTAGCGGCCCCAGCCCGCTGAGCTGGGTGGGCAGAGAGAAGCCGGAGCCCCGGCGGGGGTGAGGGGCATGGGAGGGGCAGGCGTGCTTCTACTGCTGCTGGCTGGAGCCGGCGTGGGGGTGGCCTGGAGACCACCAAAGGGAAAGTGTCCTCTGAGCTGCTCCTGCTCCAAGGATAGTGCCCTGTGTGAGGGCTCTCCGGACCTGCCCGAGAGCTTCTCCCCGACCCTGCTGTCACTGTGAGTGTCAGGCCCTCCTGAGGGTGAGGATGGGAGTCCTGGGGCCCCCGGGGGCTGGGGGCTGGGGGCAGGGTGCCGGGGCCCCCGAGGAAGCAGGGACCCTTCAGGATCTTGGGAGGTGGGCAGCGAAGGATGTTGGGATGCCTCAGCGAAGGATGTTGGAGCTGCTGGGATTTGGACAGGAGCCAAAGGGAGACTCCAAAGCCCAGGGCAGCATTTGGGGCCCCGGGGCGGTGGGGAGGGGGGAGGGCGGCCGTGGGCGGTCGAGGGGGAAGCTGCATGTTGCCAGGATCCTTGCCAAGTGGCTGTTTCCCTAGGATGGAAAGGAAAGACATCCGGGGTTGGGGCGGCATGCCAGGGTCCCCCAGACAGGAGACGGCTCTGGGGCGGGACCGGAGCGTTGGGGTGACTGTCTCCTCACCCACCACTGCCCACGTCCCCAGCTCACTCGTCAGGACTGGAGTCACCCAGCTGAAGGCCGGCAGCTTCCTGAGGGTGCCCACACTGCACCTGCTGTGAGTGGGGCCCAGTTGAGCCAACAGCTAGCTCGAGGGAGTGAGGGGGTGTTCCCACCAGTGTGTGGGGGGTGCGTGCTCACATGGGTGTTTGCGCATGTCTGCGAAAGCATCGCGTGTACCTGTGTGTGTGAGACCATGTGCATGAGGGTTGGGGGGGCAACGTTAACATGTCAGAGAGGGGGCAGCCACTCTGGAAAAATGGCTTTCTTGCTCCCTTGTCAGCCTCTTCACATCCAACTCCTTCTCTGTGATTGAGGACGATGCATTCGCGGGCCTGTCCCACCTGCGGTACCTGTGAGTGAGGCCAGGGGATGGCGGTGGGGATGGGGGCTCGGGAGAGGAGGCAGGGACCCACCTGTGGCTCCGACAGTAGAGGGAGTAGGGGCTTATTGTGCGTTGGGGAGTAGGGGGAGTGTCTGGACAAAGGTCCGTCCTGGAGGGGCAAGAGGCCTGGTGTCTTGGGTGGGGTCAGGGCTCCTGCTCAGCTGCGTGATCTCAGCCTGCTCACCTCCCCTCTCTGTGCCTTAAGATCCACAAAGGGCCTGGATAACCCAACCCTGACTTAGGGGAGCCCAGGGAGAGGACAAAGAGGCCAGAGACAAGAAAATGTTTCGTATGAACGGGAGACAACTCTGAGGTGGTGATGGAGGTGATGGGGGCGGTTGCGTCGGCGTTGGTGACCATGGTGTCGATGGGGACCCTGTCGCTGTGGCTGCCCGGGAAGCGGTGGCATTACTGAGGATGATGACGCGGGGGTGACGTGGGTCAAAATGGCAGCCCCGATGGCGCTGGGGCTGGGGGCGATACCGATGGTGAGGTCTGAGGGGCTGGGCTGGGTGCCATCACTGTTGTGGGGCGTTGGTGATTCCAGCGTTGGTGTTGCTGCGGGCGTTGCTGGGAGGGCACGGTGGCTGGCACTGGGTTTGGTGGTGATGCTGGAGGTGTGGGCGTGAATGGGAGTCGTGGCAGCAGCCGTGCCGGTGGCCGGGCATCCTGGCAATGTTGGTATTGCCGATGCTGCTCCGCGTGCTTTTGGTGACGGTGGCAGCGTTGGTGACGATGGTGGCAGTCCTGTTGGGGTTGTCATGGAGGCTGTGTTGTTGGTGATGCCTCCCAGTAGTGCTGGGTGAGGCTTGGCGACGATGCGTTGGTGTGGGTGACGGCAGTGGGTGGCGGTGGGGGCACAGCGTGGGGTTGACCATAGTCTCAGCCATGCTGTTGGCACCGGGGTGGGGGATGGTGATCGAGGCTCGGAGGTGCGTCATGATGGATGATGGCGGAGGTATGGGTGGTGATGTCGAAGCTAGTGCTGGGGTCGGTGGGCCGGCGGAGTTCACTGTGAGGCTGGCAGGGAACACGGGGTTAGGTTCTTGCCTCCTGGGATGAGCGTCCGGAACGCTGGGGAGGACAGGTTTCTGGGGAGGCTTCAGCACATTCCAGTGGCCTATGGCTTAAATGGGGTGAGTCTCCCCAAGCGCCCTGGGGGGCCACAGCAGGGAACCAAGGGCCTCCCCCTCACCCCCCTTCCCTCCACAGCTTCATTGAGGACAATGAGATTGGCTGCATCTCTAAGAACGCTCTCAGAGGACTCCGCTCCCTCACACACCTGTGCGTGCCTCCCCCAAGGCCTCACCCCTCCCTTCCGCCTCACCAGCCTGCCCTGACAGCCCCCCACCCCCAAACCCCATCACCCAGGGACACAGGGGATCCGGGTTGCTGGTGACGGCCGCTCCTCCTTCTCTCCTTCCACCAGGAGCCTGGCCAATAATAATCTCGAGACCCTCCCCAGATTCCTGTTCCGAGGCCTGGAGACCCTAACTCACGTGTGAGGCTCAAGGGGGCTGGGTGGGTCAGGGGAGCTGGGGGCTGTTTGAGGGGGCAGGGGAAGGCCACTTTTGGCTGACACAGAGAAGTATGGCGGCAATGGTTCCTCCGTAGGGCCCCATCCCGAACCCTTGCCTGGGGAGGGGGCGGGGAACATGGCCTCCAGGGGGGTGGAAGCCAGGTCGCAGCCCCTCCCCGGCCTCTTGCCCCAGGGACCTCCGCGGGAACCCGTTCCAGTGTGACTGCCGTGTCCTCTGGCTCCTGCAGTGGATGCCCGCCGTGAATGCCAGCGTGGGGACTGGGGCCTGCGCCGGCCCCACTGCTCTGGCCCACAGGCAGCTCCGCCACCTCGACCCCAAGACGTTCAAGTGCAGAGCCATAGGTGGGGGCTTTCCCGGCAGGGTGGGAGGGGCCACAGGGGTCCCAGAAGAAGGTGGGAGAGCAGGGGAATAGCTCCCAGGGCTGAAGGGCTCACCTCGCTCCCTGCTCTGCTGTTTCCCAGCGTGTGAGCCCCTGAGCATGAGCATCAGCTCCCTGAGCCTCAGTTTCCTCATCTGTAAAATGGAGGTAATAAACCGTGCAGTAGGATTGCAGCGAGAATTCAGTGATGCATCCACGCCCGCATGTGGTGCTGAGCCTTGGATGGGAGGCCCTCAAAAGTGTGCACTCTGGTGGTTGTTATTAATATAAAAATGACCTTTTAAAAATACTTGCTATGATCACGTTGCTTTTCCATAAATACGTTTTGGTGCCTTTATGGGTCCTGGGCAGTGCAAGAGGCACAGTGGTGATGAGGACGGCCCTGGCCCTTGCCCTGCCAGGGAAAGGCACAGGGAAAGGTGGAGGGTGAGAGCCCGGAGTGGTCAGGACTGGGGTGGGGGAAGCCCACCAAGCTGCGGGCGCCCCGAGCCAGAGCGAGGGCCAGGCACAACGGGAGGGCCAGGGAGGGCTTCCTGAAGGAGTGGGTAAGGCTATTAATGTAATAATCAGTTCTTACCAGCATCTAAGTGTAAGTCATGTTTCGGGTTTGTGGGACTCATAGAACCAGAGAATTTAACATAAGGGTCACTCTTTATTCAGCTGTCCCACAGTCACTGAGGGCCACTCTGTGTCCGGCCCTGTGAGAGGCAGAGGGCACACTGTGGCAACCCAGACAGCAATGGGCCCTGCCCTTAGAGCTCTGGCGGGTGAGGACATAGACATTGAATAAAATGTTGCAGAAACAAAAGTATGCTACACGCTGTGATAAACACAGGGAGCAGTGAGGGAGATTAAGGTGGCAGGGTGGTCCTACCTTCCACGGGGCGTTGGAGAAGGCTTCTCTGAAGAGGTGGCTTTACATCCAGATGTAGCTCAGTGAAGTACAGAGGGAAGAGCCCTCTGGAGAGAGGGGACAGCATGTGCAAGGGTCCTGAGGCAGCAGAGAGTCTGTCCTGCTTGCAAGTCAAAGGCAGGCAGTGTCTTGGGGGTGTGAGTGAAAGGAAGGACACAGGTGAGGTCCAAGTCAGCAGGGGCCTCACTGTGTAGGACTTTGAAAGCCACAGAGAGCAGAGTGGATTTTACCCTGAGGGCTGTGGGAAGCCATGGAGAGTTTCAAGCAGGGGGTGATGTTATGATGGCCATTTTTCAAAGATCCAGCTTTGGGTGGGCATCCTTGGTGGCTCGGTTCATTGCTTCAACCCTGGTGCCTGGAAACAGGGCCTGGCACATAGAGTGAAGTATTATAACCTGGAGTCTACACCCGGCTCCACCACCAAGCTGGGCAACCTTGGTGCATCATTTCCATAAAAGCTAAGTGGCCATAACCAAGAGGTTCAGAATCCCATGACTTAAAGAAGACAGAAGGGTCTGAGGTGAGCAGTCCAGGCAGGTAGGGCAGCCCCTGGGTGTTGTCCTGGTTTTCATGGTTGAAACGGAGTCGTGGCACGTCCATCTGCCAGGCCATGGGGAGAAGGGGAAAGAGACCAAGTCTAGGACGAGCTGTTGTCAAACAAGCGAAGCGAGCATTACCCTCAGCACTTTGCTCTTTCACCACGGGGAACTTAGCCTGGACAAGGCCGTACCTAACTTCAGGAGGGAGGTGTTGGGGGAGCGCTGGGATCACATGGTAGGCAGCTCTGTGCCCCAGTCCTCATTCATGGAAGATGGGAAGGCTGGGATAGCTTCCTCGTCTGTAGAATGGATAGAATGAAATGTCCCTCACAGGGATCTTGTGAAGTTAAATGTATTAAGAAATACGTTGCGTCTAAGTAATGATTTGATGATGTCATGCAGCTTAGAAAATAAAGCATTCCCCTGTTGTTGTGACTTAATTCATCTATCGATGAAAAGATTCCACTCCGTGTCCCTCTGAGGTGCACACCAGGATGGTCCTCATTTCAGAGATGTGCAAACCGAGGCTCAGTGATGAGGGCCCGCGGGGTCCCCCGTGCCTGCCTGACTCTCTCCTGCCGCCCCCCAGAGCTGTCCTGGTTCCAGACGGTCGGGGAGTCGGCGCTGGGCGTGGAGTCTTTCTCCTACCAGGGGGAGCCCCACATCGTCCTGGCGCAGCCCTTCGCGGGCCGCTGCCTGATCCTCACCTGGGACTACAGCCTGCAGCGCTTCCGGCCTGAGGAAGAGCTGTCCGGTGAGCCCCCCGCCCCCCGCCCCGACTTTCCAGCCCCCTGCCTGCCCAAGAGCCTGCCTGGTGGGCCTGACCTGCCCCGCGGCCTAACCTGCCCTCCGGCTCCCCGACCCCCCCCCCCGCCCCGCCCCACAGCGCCCTCGGTGGTGTCCTGCAAGCCCCTGGTGCTGGGCCCGCGCCTCTTCATGCTGGCCGCCCGCCTGTGGGGGGGCTCGCAGCTGTGGGCCCGGCCCAGCCCCGGCCTGCGCCTGGCGCCCACGCAGGCCCTGGCCCCGCGGCGGTTGCTGCGGCCCAACGACGCCGAGCTCCTGTGGCTGGACGGGCGGCCCTGCTTCGTGGTGGCCGACGCCTCCAAGGCGGGCAGCACCACGCTGCTGTGCCAGGACGGGCCCGGCTTCTACCCCCGCCAGAGCCTGCACGCCTGGCACCGGGACACGGACGCCGAGGCCCTGGAGCTGGACGGCCGGCCCCATCTGCTGCTGGCCTCCGCCTCCCAGCGGCCCGTGCTCTTCCACTGGCTCGGGGGCCGCTTCGAGAGGCGCACGGACATCCCCGAGGCCGAGGACGTCTACGCCACACGCCATTTCCAGGCTGGTGGGGACGTGTTCCTGTGCCTGACGCGCTACATCGGGGACTCCATGGTGAGGCCCGGCGCAGTCAGGTGGGGCAGGCGGTGGAGGCCACAAGCCAGACCTGACCTGCCGCAGACCAGCCCCTCGTGTGGGCTGGTCTTTCAGCGCTGACCCCACCTTTGCACACGGGCCTCTGCGCTCTGACCTGACCTCACAGGCTGACCTTCGAGCTCTGACCCCACCTAATGTACTGATCTTTGAACTCTGGCCTCCCTTCCACTGACTCCAAGACCACTGTGACTCCTCCAGGCTGGCTGACCATAAGCCACTTCCTATCCCCCCAACACTGACGCTGGGCCCCACCCTCCGGCTCTGTAACTCTGACACACTCTGCGACTTACATTTGGCTGCAGCCACCACACTCTGGACCCCCAAGGCTGATGGCCCACCCCCACAGCATTCTCATTCTGGGGTGAGGAACAGCCAAGCGGAGCGCTCTGAGCCTAGAAGGCAGTGGTCTGACTCAGGTGTTCACGGGACATGTGTGTGGGGAGCAGACTGTGGGTGCAGGAATGGGAGTGGGGAGCCCAGGGCAGAGCCTACCGTCCCGGAGGGAGGTGACTGTGGCTGGGCAGAGTGCGGCCAGAGGAGATGGGACAAACAGATACCACTGTAGGTAAAACTGATTCCATGTGGGGTGTGAGGGAGAGAGAAGGGCCAAGAATGACTTCCAAGTCTGGGGCCTGGGCAGCAGGGTGGTGACAGGTATGAAGGCAGGAAAGCTGCGGGCATTTGGGGACCTACAGGCCTGTCTCCAAGCTGTTCCAGGTGCTCTGAAGCCCAGAGGACTACCGGCAGGCCTGGCCCTCCTGGACCCCAGGCCCTAACTAGTCGCCACACTTCACAGGTCATGCGCTGGGATGGCTCCATGTTCCGCCTCCTGCAGCAGCTTCCCTCACGTGGTGCCCACGTCTTTCAGCCCCTGCTCATCGCCAGGGACCAGCTGGCCATCCTGGGCAGTGACTTCGCCTTCAGCCAGGTCTTCCGCCTTGAGCCTGACAAGGGGCTCCTGGAGCCTCTGCAGGAGCTGGGACCCCCAGCCCTGGTGGCCCCTCGTGCCTTTGCCCCCATCACCTTGGCCGGCAGACGCTTCCTCTTCGCTGCTTGCTTCAAGGGCCCCACACAGATCTACCAGCATCACGAGTTAGACCTCAGTGCCTGAGACCCCCTGGGACCTTGGCTATGGCTTGGAGGGAAGGGGGCAGTGGCCCGGGGAGGCCCAGGCCACTGGACACCCACTTGACTGGGCTCCTGGCCCTCCTCGGGCTGATGGTCCCTGTGAGGTACTGACCACAGGCCAAGCTCAAGGCAAGAGCTGTCCTTCAAGTCGTAAGGAACATCTCGGCTCTGGGCACATGCCCCGACTAAGGATGACTTGGGGGCTCGGGCTGGGGCACTTGCAAGGAGCCGGGATACAGAAGTCATGATGGGGGTAATGTGCAGAACTCCGTGAGGTCTGGAAGTGCCCCCCTCAACCCACTCCCACCCGTCCTGCTCCCTGTGAAAGTACTGAGGGAGAGATAGCTACCCCTTCCCTCTAAACTCCATCCGGCCAATCGCTTTTAGCGCCCGCCCCCGTGACGTCACCAGTCGCTGGGCCGGCCTCACTGCCGGGCTTGCTAACTTCCTCTGCTGCTTGTGCGCATGCTTGCTGCCGAGGCGGAAGCCCAGCGTGTTGGCCCTCTTGCGCGTGCGCGGGAAACAGGTGGGCAAGCGGGAGCTGTTGCGGGGAGCCCTGGCTACGCGTCTCCAATGAGGGACAGGGGAGAGGACAGAAAGTGTATGAGCTCAATAAACGCGCTGTGCACCTGCCCCGCTCGCTGTTGTGGGATCTTTGGGAGAGGGTGTTTCATGAGTGACATGGGGGGAGGAGTGGTGTCCCAGGAGCAGTATTATGGGGAGGTGCATTTTGGCTGCCCTGGTGCGCTTTCGCTTGACCCATGAGTGTGGGCTCATGGATTGGGGGGGCTCATGGGATGTTCGAGGGATATAAAGGCATTATTAGGGGACAAGTCGCTGGTTTATTGTGGGCCTCTTCTTGGGGTCATGTCTCGGAGCATTGTAGGAGATCGTTTTGGGTGTTTTAAAGGGTTTTAGGCATTTTACGGGGTGGCCCTTGGCATTTTGGAGCTCTTACAGGGTATTGGGGAGTCTCAATGGAGTTTGAGGCTCCTTGGAGATTCTCACACCATGTGGCCACTCTATATTATTAGGAGTGTCGTGCGGAATTATTTGAAGGTCTCACAAGGACAGTTGGGTATTAGGAAGGGTTTTCTATAATAAAGTGGGGTCTCGGGTAAGTGGGAGAGTCATGGGGTCTTACTATTAAAATCATAATCTATCTGACTACTCATATCATGGTAGGAAGATCCATGTCCTTGCTTTCCTGGGATGGTCTCAGTGTCCCCTCGAATGTCCCAGCATTCCATCTCGTTAGAGCTCTCTTTCACTCCCCAAAGTGTCCACCATTTGGCTACTAGAAAATTTTAAATTGCACTTGTGGGTTCCCTAGCCTTGGAGGCAGAGGGCGGACCTCAGGCCACCCAGCAGGCCTTGGGCTTTTCCCAACAAAGAGATTCAACTGCCGGCTTCTGTATCAGCTGCCAGTGTGTATCCACCTTCTCCTAGTCCTCAAAAGCCCACCCCGATGTACACATAGGGAGTCTTGAGGCTACTTGGGCTAATCAATTTTTAGAAGAAGAATAAGGAGGCAAGATCCATGTTTAGGAAAAAAAAAATTGAACAAAAAGACCCCTCTGGTGAGAGGTAAAGTGAGGCCCTGGCAAGGTGCTCTGAGGGGAGGAGGGAGAATTCCATCCTGGAATCCGGATTCCTGTGCAGAGCCAGGAATTGGAGGAAGAGAAGGGACCTCTGTGTCCTTTCGGCTGATCCATCCTCAACAGTTCTGGGCAGAGCCTGGGAGAGATGATGGATCAGCTTGTGGGAGCAGATGAAGTTTTCTCCCCAAGGCGCGTGCACACACAGGCACGCACACTCGCACGTGCCCACCCCTCACATCCCATGTTCCCTGCATCCCCATTCTGTTCCTGGCTTACCTGGAGTGATGAGAGGTGGGGCGTCCCCTGGATGGTGGCTAGGGAAAGAAAAGTGGTGAGATGTGTATCCATCCCCCTTGTCCTCTCCCTCAAGGCTAGAAGATTCTCAGCTTGCCCTGACATAGCTTCCTGGCTATTTTTCCTGGAATGGGACCAAAGCTTTTCAGGATTTGGGACCCTCTGAAGATTATCAGCTCTGAAGAATAAACCTGGGAAATCTCAGTGGCAGGAATTCTCCGGGGCAGAACCGGGAGGCCTCTATCTGCGAGATTTAGCTCTCTCACTGGTGAAAGGTGTGTGTTCAGTATGAAGCGGGCACACAGGGAACCCATCTTACCTGGGCTTCTGGCTGAACTTGCATTTGCATTTCCCACCTGTCAGGGGAAAGGGGATGGTTGGGGAAGGGGACCCACAGCCCTGCCCTACCAGCTCAGCCACCAGTGTCCCCACTCACTCATGAGGACGATGATGCCGATGGTGCACAGAACCGCGGCGCAGATGAGCCCACCGATCCGGAGTCTGCGCCAGTCTAGGAGAAACCCAGATGAGGCCATCAGTGCCTGCCTGTGTCCTCCCTGTCCAAACCTCCATCTATTTGACAGGTAGGTATCGGGCACCTTAAGACGGGCAGGGAGCTGGGGATACAGAGCGGAGAGAACAGACAGCCCCCCAGCCCTCCTGTGCTTTCTCCTTTACACACAAACAAGCGATAAGAGATTTGATGGAAGGTCAGGTGGAGATAAGCATTCTGAAGACAAATAAGCAGAGCCAGGGAACAAAAAGTCAGAGGGCAGCTCTTTTAGGGAGACTGGTCAGAGAAGGCCTCTCTGAGCAGAGCCCCGAGTGGGTGCAGGGGGGCCGTGGCAGGGGGATCGGAAGGTACAAAGGTCTGGGGGTTTGGAGCGTGTTTGCTGTGTCTGAGCACCAGCAGGAAGGCCACCCAAGAGCTCCCTTCCTCCAGGCAGTTTTTGCAAAGCGAGCCTCCTCCCAGCAGTTAATTTGAACCATAACAACGGCTTCTTGGGAACTGTCCTGGCTTCCTTGCGCACCTATCCTGCCGGAAGAGAACCTTCCCAGGGGCCAGATTGGCGTGGCTCGTTCCTTTATTCCGCTGTGATGACTATTCAGTGTCTCCCCATCCTTGCCCCTTCCTATCCTCGCCCCTGTTTCGCCCACATCAGACCCCCACCCAGGCCGTGTGGGACCCCTGACACAGAGTGGCAGGAGGGGGTGCGAGTGGGGGGCCAAGAGAGGGACACAAGCTCTCACCGTAGTAGAAAGGACTGTTTTTATCTGCAAAGAAAGGAAAAAAGCATGTGAATCCAGGACAACAGCCAGGAGGCAAGGGTGCGGGGGAGACTTTGGGGGTGAGCGTGGTGGAGGAGTCGGACTCACCTTCTGGGTCATTGGCGTCCAAGGCAGGCAGGCCTGCTGGGAGAAGCGGGAAGAGGGGGATGGCGTGCTGGCCTCAGCAAAGCCGGCCGGCAGGGCCACAGAGCCTCAGGGGCCCCCGATGGACTGGTCCCCGCCTCCTGAGGGCACCGGGGTCCGGCCCCAAACCTGGAGGTGTGGACTTCCTCCACCGCCCCACACCTGTGAGCCCCACGGGCCCACCCACATTTTGCCTCCCGAAATAGGTTTTAATCTGGTTGGCTGGGAACCACTCTTTGGCCTCATGTTTCCAGACACGTGGCATCCTCCCTCCTGCAGAAACCGAACAACATTCTTGTCAAGACGACAGACGGTACCAGCTCTCAATCATTCTCAGAGCCTCGTCCACACCCCACCTGTTCTGGTGTTTGCTCACCGCTTCCTTTCAGAGCAAATTACTAATTACAAACTTAACACACTTTCTTTAAAAATGCAGCTCTCTCTCACTACCCTGAATGGAATGCCAGTTTTGCCTGATGTAAGGGATAAAAAAAAAAAATACAATAAAAGCAAAGGACTAGGATTACCTTCTGGCCAGAAGCAGTGGGCTACCTGAGGTCTGGGCCTAAGCTCTGTTCTTTGTTTGTTAAAGGGCGATTAATAAGTTTTAATTAAAGCACAAGCACATAGTGCTTACTCTGTACTGGGCCCTCTTCTAACTGCTTTTCAAATACTAACTTGTGCAGTGACTCGCACAATCCTCGCAGTGACTAAGTACTTATTAGTATTGTCCGTATTTTTACAGCTGGGGAAACTGAGGCACAAAGGATTTGCATAACTGCTGCATCCGCGAAGCTCCCAGTTACCTCTCGTAATAAAGTGCTAGGGAGGTGATGAAGACACAGCACCCGGGGCTGAGCCCTCTCATCAAGGACACCTCAAGGGGGTGACTAGCTGTGTGAGACGCTGCTGTAAGGGGTCCTGTCTTTGTGTGTGCACCTTGAAAGCCCCAGGGCGACACTTGTGACCCTCAAGGAGATGCCGTCCAGCTAGTCACCGCCGCACAGGGGAGGCGGAAAGCACGAGAGAGAGAGAGAGAGAGAGAGAGAGACACATACATGCAGGGCTTGGCCACCCCTCAGTGGAGGGGTCTGGGGAAAAGGCAGTCCGGGACACAGGCACTCACCTGCCAGGAGGATGAACAGGCTCAGTGTCACCTCTTGCATGTCAGCCAGCTGGCCTGGAGGGGTAAGGGTGGGTGGGGAGGGTCCAGCTTTAGTAGGCCGGGCGGTGCCAGACCGGTGCCTCTGGGTCCCCATCCTCTCCTACTCTGCTCCCGCCCAGGATACACAGCTCGCCCCAGGGCAGAGAGGCCTGGCTGGGAGATGAGAAGGAGCCGCCAAGTGCAGGGGGTGGGTGACAACGCAGACTTGGAGAGGAGTCGCACGAATTACTCACTCGACACAGACTTGGGGCTTTACGTGAATGGCCCTGGTGACCAAATGAGGGAGGCGCTGCCTGCTGTTAGCCCCATCTTACAGATGGGGAAACTGAGGCTCTGAAAGCTGAAAATGGGTGCATAGGGTCACCTCGCGAGAGAGCAGGATTTAAAGCAGCCTGGCTCTGCAGTGGCTCTTTGTCGCTCAGGACTCTCAGGGCCTCGGGGTGTTTTGGGAAACGGGATGGAGGGAGCCAGGTGTCAGGAGGCCTGGTTCCCGGGTGTGTCTCTCGGAGACAGCTCAGAGCCTGCCCGCCCTGCCCAGACTCTGCAGACCTCGGGCTGGCTCCTCAGGCTGCTCAGAGCAGGGTGTGGGGAGGAGAGAACTAGAGGCTGGGGCAGGGGTGGGGGCCAGAGCAGGGAGGAGTCACCGGGCTGTAGCCCTAGCCCCGACTTCTGCCCCCCGCAACCCCTCGTTTCTGTCCTGCCTCTGCCCCTGCCCCAGCCCCTGCCCCAACCCCTGCCCCTGACTCTACCCCAGCCCCTACCCCTGCCCCAGCCCTTGCCCCCGAATCTGCCCCTGCTCCTGCCAAGCTCCTGGAAGCCATTATTTCCTCTTTCCCCAGATAGGCCTGTCCAGCAAGAAGAACCCCTCCATCTCCTTCCTGGTCTGGCATCAGCCCACCCTCCCCCCATCCCAAGTGCCTGAGATAAGCCCCCGTCTCTGTGTGTCCCCGGCCGTCCCCCAGCCCCGGCCCCACTGTCACTAGCAGACACTGTCAAGAGGTTGACAGCAGGAGCTAGGACGTCCTCCGCGCCACCCTGTGCTGGGCACTGGCCAGTGCCCTTGCTGTGTCTTTGCCCATGTCGGCCCCGCCCCGGGCACCCCCAGAGGCGATCCGTTCTAGCCCTCATTTAGCCCATGGCACAGCACATGCCCTCACTAAGCCATTCGACATTCCCTGCTCTGTCATCCCACTGCTCTCCACCGCGGAAGACGGTGACCCCGTCTCTCTCCGCACCCTCCATGGCACCCCCACCCCGTGTTCCTTTCTCTTTCTTGCATGTTCCCACAGATTCCTCCCTCTCCCTGTGCCCGTTCAGGTCCTGGGCAACCTCTCAGTTGTTAATCCCATATGGTGGACTCAAATGCATCCATTTCTTGCAGGAAGGGGGCCTGGAGCTTTGGGGAGCATTACTAAGGCATTCAGGACCCCACAGATTTGGGGAGAAGAGCTAGAGTGGGTGTGTGGGCAGCAGAGCCTGGTGGTTCCAGGCGCAGGTCTGGAGAAGGACCACTTACTGTCTAAAGCTGCCTCGTGAGGCTTTGTTACCCCAAAATGATACCCCAGTTATAAGAGCTAGTGCCCAATGAGCGTTTACCTCTTGCCAGGCACTGGTCGCAGCTCTTCGCACTTATTCGCTCATGCAATCTCCGCAGCTTGATGAAGCTGTGGTTACCCCACGTTGCTATCACAGCCCCAGAGCCCCTGCTAACTCAGCCTAATGCTGTATGTTGTCACATCTGGGCATCTGCCCTCAACCTTCCCCGCCCAGGCTGTTGTGGGAAGGGGCTCCTGAGCTGCTCTGGGGGACTGACTGTCGTTGGTGTGAAGGCTTGGAGAGGAAGACAGCCTGCAGATGGAGGCTCTGCCCACCCCTCTGGGCTCCTTCCCTGCCCTGCCGGTCCCAACACCTGTGTGAGGGCCGTTCCCACCACCCGCCCCCTGCTATCCCCTCTGTTCCTCTGTGATGACAGCCAGACCCCTCAAGCCTGTGCAGAATGACTCCCCCATGTCTCTGAAATTCCCTACCCAACCCCCCCGTTTTACAGCCTCCCCAGGAAGCCACCATCCCCTTTTCCAAGAGGTCTCCAGGACCCATACATCCTCAATCCCTAGACACCCCAAGTCCACCCAGTCACCCACCATCCACTCTGATACCCTCAATCCAGCCTTGATCCACCTAGATACCCCCATCCACCCAGGCACCCCTCTCCAACCCTATCCACCCAGATGCCCCCAATCCAGATGTTTCTGTTGCACTCAGACACCCCAGATCTACCCAGTCACCCCAATCCCACCTGTGGGCTCATCCCAGCTAGCTCACCCAGCCCCCTGAAGGGAGAATGATGGGGGGACAATCACATTAATGGAAGGTGCTTTCTCTAATCTCCTGCCCCCCTGCCCCCCCAGAAAAGACCCTTAAAGGGAGGAAGTTCTAGTGTCTTTAACAGACATCAGTGGAGAGAGGGGCAGAGATAGTTTGGGGGCAGAGCCAAGAGGATGTTGGGGGTAGGGGGCCCCTGTGGCTCACCTGTGTGGCTCCCCAGGCTGCTTGGAAAGTTCCAGGAGAGAAGGGGGAGAACGCGGCTGCTAAGCCGGAGTCCTGCCTTTATCTGCAGCTGCCACGCCCTAGGCAAACCTGGGCAGGTAGAGAACAAGTCGGACTCCCTAAAGCTCAGGGGCTCTCTCGCCCCATTCCTGCTCTTAAAGAGACAGGTACCACCCCTTCTTCCCAGCCACTAATGGCAGGGAGCTCCCTGAGGTCCCCAAGGCCACAGCAGCCTCAGGTAGCCAGAGGGAGCATGGGATGGGCTGGAATTCTGCTCCTCACATCAGGGGAGGGGGGTTCTTCAATCTCTTGCCCCTGTGAAAAGGACCCAGACGGAAGAAGTTTGGGGTCTTTAACAGCCAAGCTTCTGCCTGGCAGAATGGTGGGGAAAAGTGATGCATTGGTGTAATAATCTAGTTTCTTTCACTTAGTTTGTGCGTTCCGCTTGAAGGAGGGCTTGGTGGCAATTGTGGGACATCTAAGGTCCCTTTCCGGACCACTCGTTGCTTCTTGACAGTTTGAGGGTCAGCAGAAGAGGCTGATATGACCAAGGTCATGAGGTGGGAGTGGGGGTGCACAAGGGGTAGGAGTGGAGGAGTGAGGGCTGTTGGGCTTTAGACCATGACCTCTATCCTACGTGCCCATCATGCCCTGGAGAGATTGGCAACTGGTTTCTGAGCATCAAGCGGACCTTCCTAGCTCAGGCTCTTCCCAAGAGTGCTGGGAGCCAGATGCCCGGGTCTATGCAGTGGGCGTTGGGGTGGAGGATGCCTCCCACTCCGGATAAGGTCATTGCACTGTGCGAGGCTCCCTTCCCCTCCCTCCCCCCTTCTGCCCCTCCTCCTCATGGCATTCCTTCTGGCTGGGGTCTGTGTAGGCCCCCACATGGTCCTTGTTGGGGTGCCCCCTCCCCCCAATTCTGCTTTTTTAGACAGAGGGACTTTTGTCTGGGGGCTGGATGGAGAACAAGGCGCCTTTGAGTGGCTGGCGGAGGATTGGGGTCATGGGGAGGGGCAGGGCCAGGAAAGGGGTGGCTCTGCACTGGCCACCAGCTGGACTCCAGGCGACCCCCAACACCATCTCGGGGGTGGGGCAGAGGGCTGCAGGCCAGGGAGAGTGTGGAGTGCAGGATGGGGAAAGGGGGTTTCTGAGGTCAAGACTGCTGGGAGTTGTCTGCTGGGGACAGGGAGAAAGGACTCCCCACTTCCTAGCAGGAAAGGATGGGGAAGCAAGGAAGGCACGCCCAAATACATCTTTCTTTATGTAGCTCCCTCAGGCAGTTTTTCAATCCCAGGCCCTAAACCAGGACAAAGCCTCCCCACCCCACCCTGCTCCCTTAGGAAGGGGCCAGTCCCTACAAGGAGCGAAGGGGGCACTCAGGGTGGGGCTCAATCAAAGTGGGAGGTTTAGGGGGAGACAAACAAGAGTTAAGGGAGGCTTGGAGGGGAGGATCCCAGTCCAGCTAAGGGGGGTCTTTGTCTCTGGGAAGATAGCATGCATCCCTTGCCCAGACATTTCAAGATTACAATGTCCCTGGGAAGACCCCTTTGGTGCTCTTGGCAGTTGAGTGGTTTCTCCCTCTGCTGGGAAGCTCGGGAACTGCAGGCTTCAGAGAGCGAGAAGGGGCGAGTGCTCTGTGGCTAGGCTGTCCTTCGCCTGTGCCAGAGGTTGCAAATTCAGATGCCAAAGGGGCCAGGCAAGAATTGTGAACGAGTGAAGCAGGACAGGCATGAGACCCTAAGGTGCACTGGCAACTGGGCAAACGGGAGAACTATTGTTCTGTTTAAAAGGCAACCACCAGGGGCGCCTGGGTGGCTCAGTTGGTTAAGCGACTGCCTGCAGCTCAGGTCGTGATCCTGGAGTCTAGGGATCGAGTCCCACATCGGGCTCCCTGCTCGGCAGGGAGTCTGCTTCTCCCTCTCACCCTCCTCCCTCTCGTGCTCTCTGTCTCTCACTCTCTCTCTCAAATAAATAAATAAAATCTTAAAAAAAAAAAAAAGGGCAACCACCAAAACGACTGTAGCAAGCTCATGTGGACAGAGACACAAGGATCTCCCAGACATCTTGGTACGGGGACAAAGCAAGATGTATAGATGTGAGGTGGAAAAGAATGTTCCTGAATGAAGTATCTTTGGATACTCTGCTTCTGGGGTGGAGGAATGAGGGGTGGGGTGGAGGGAGACTCCCTCTTGTACCTTTTGAATTTTATATTCTGAAAATGTCCAACTTTGAAAAAAACGTAATTAAAGGATAGTCTCTACACAATCCCAGCCAATTGCTGCTACATTTTCAGTCGATGTCAGAAACCTGAATCTTTGTACGGAATTGCCAATAGTTGGTTGGTTCAGGGACTCCTGGCTGGCTCAGTCGGTGGGGCATGCGACTCTTAATCTCAGGGTCGAGGGTTTGAGCCCCACGTTGGGTGTAGAGATTACTTTAAAAAAAGTTGGCTAGATTTTTTTTTTAAATATGCAGTTTTAAAAAATTACGCAAGTCCAACAAAATACATCTAAAGGGCTGGTTTCAGCCTGGGGGACCAACTTCTGCCAATTTCATTTCCTGAATCTTTAATTACGGTGGCCTTGCATTTAGATATACAGATATTAATGGGGCTTTGACCCAACCCAGGCCAACCATAACCTCCCCCTGCGGCTGGACCAGAATGTGTCATCCATGTGTGTGTTGGCCTGGGGATGGGGCTTCTGGCCTGGAGAAGCAGGATTTGAGACCCCCATGAGGACGGGCCAAGTTGTGCATACTGACACTTGGGGAAGGTTTTCAGGAGTCGTGGGGGCAGCTGTTTGCATTCTATTCTTTTGGGGTGTCTTTTAGGCCTATTTGACTTCAATCATATCTGAAGTCTCTCTCCTTCTCTCTTTCTCCCTATATATAAATGTATGTATATATAATCTTTTGTATGTGAATATATGTTATACATGTTATTATATTATATAGATAATAATATTTCCCCTTCATTTTGCTTTTGACATCATTTGGCCCTAAAGAATCGGCTGACGCTGTGATTAGCTGTGATTTCTCAGGATTCTTAGGAATTCTCGCAAGATGAGAAAAACCAAACCCACAGATAGCTTCTGAACATCACAATGTTTTCAGGAATGCCGAACTGAAGTACGAAATCAAAGCCATAGGGTGTTAGGTCGTCACTGACTCAGATTTATCAATTTTGGTTTTGCCATTTGCTTCTGATATTCAGGAGGGCCAAAACCCAACTATTGTACATGTGTCCTTTGGTTCACAAAGTGTTGCAAAAATTAATAGTCACCAACATTTAAGCATCGGGGTATTTCCAACATACTAAGCTGCATTTCTAGTTTATGAGGAAGACACAGCCTAACTGGGCCCATGTTTCCACTTGGCAGCAGTGGCTGGAGGGGCAGGGCCATCTCCCCCTGGTTTGAGGCTTCATGGGAGGGAATATGGGACAGGGACACGTCCTGTGTCACACCTGCTTCCGCCTTTGGGCCCTCCATCACAGCGCAGACCCTGGACAGACGCAGCCCAAGATGGATCGGGCATGGTTTATGCAGGAAAGACCCCAGGACCGTCATACCGAGTCTGCCCACGGTGAGGGGAAAGGCACAATTAAGGAAAGACTTGGTCATGTTTTGTGACTCCCTCCCAAAACGGCTTTGATGGGCAACTACCAGTGGAGAAGACCGAGTCTTTCACGGTGCCCGCCTGCACAAGGATGGGCAGGAGATGCCTGCGAGGCAAGACACTCAGAAAAAAATAATACCTAGGGTACAGATAGATGGAGCGAAAGCAGATGAGACAAAATAGTAAGAATTGGAGGATCTCCATGAAGGGTATTTGGGTTCATTGTATTCTTTACGTAACTTTCCTGTCGTGACAAAAATTCAAACGAAAAGTTGCGGAAAAGGAATCAAACATTTCAAATTAAACTTAACACAAAATAATTCCCTGCAAGATAAAAAAACAATGGCAAAAGAATGGAGGACAAGGTAAATGCAGAATTGGATAAATTGTTAAGTAAACAGAATTTAATTGGACTTAGAAAATTATGTATTTATGTATATGGCATGTGGTATATATGAAATATTGTATATATTTCGTTCTTCATGGATAAAAGCTTGTGTTCTTTTATCGCCCTCCCACAGTGTCTTCCTCTTCCTTCGCTTGGATGGGTTGCGTCGCCCCTGACCCCTGGGTGCCCAGCTCTGACCCTCCCCTGCTGGGGGCGCCTCACCCGCTCCTGGCTGCCCAGCCCCGTCCGCCGGGGGGCCGTGGGGCTCTGGGGTTGGCGCTGGGGCTGGCAGGTTCCTGCCTGGCTATAGAGGCAGGGAGATGAGTCTGCAGTTCTAAGAGCTTGGCTGGCGTCGGTGGCTCCGGGGAGGCCCTGACCCAGCAGCTTGCTGGCAGAGGGGCCCCTGACGTCCCGGCATTCCCATTCTCTTCCCCCCTGCACCTCGGTGTCTAAGAAGGCGGAGCTACGCTGGGCAGAACCAACTCCACACCCATGCGCATCCCTGAGTCATTTACCAACTATCGCTGACTGACTCACTCTATTTTCAACGAATGATCCTCTACTGGGCTGCACTGGGCAGGCATGACTCACCCGGTGGGGGCAAGTATGGCACAGAGGGGCTGTCACTTAGTGTCAAGGCGCACAGGTAATGAAGGGTCAAGGTTGGGTTGCCAAGCCAGGTCATCTGTCTCCACACCCGTGTATGTGTGTGTGTGTGGGGGGGGGTAGTGACAAAAGGACAACAGGATCCCATGTAAATTTGAGGGTCCCATGAACAGACAGCAGGTTAGAAAAGAGAATTAGACCACAAAAAATATTTCCAGAACCAACGACTTCTCCCCCACTGCCCGCCCCCCAGCTAGTTCTCTATCTTCCCCGTCCTGAACCCCACAGCATCTGCTTCCCAGGATCCCTGCTCCCTTGTCTGCCCTGGGTCTGTTCCCTGCCCACCTGCAGCTGGAGGGAGACCCTGAACCCCTGAGTCAGGGCAGGGCCCTGCTGGCTCAGAGCCCTCCCCTGGCTGCACCTCTCTCCTGGCAGAAGCGAAGTCCTCACCATGACCCACGAGCTGTAAGTCACTCCTCTGGCTGGTCCCCTGTCACCTCTCTGACGTCATCATCGCCTCCCCCTCAACCGCTCACCCACTTGCTCACTCGCTCCAGCCACGTCGGCCTCCCTGCTGGTCCTCCAGCACAGCAGGCGCCTTTCCAGCCTCCAGACACTGGCACTTGGCGTTCCCTCTAGCGAAGACGCTCTCCTCACAGGTGCGCACATGGGTCCCTCCCTCGTCTCCTTTCTTCAGGGCTTTGCTCAAACATCACCTTCTTGATGAGGCTTTTCTTGGCCATTGGATTCAAAACTACATCTCCCACCTGGAAACCCCGCCCCACCCGCTTCTCTCTCTCTTTCTCTCTCTTTTTTTTCCCCCGTAGCGTTAGCACCTACCACCTCCTGACATAGTGTATGATTACGCACTTACTGGTTATATTTATTATCTCTTTCGCCTCTGGAATGTCATCTCTGGGAGGGAGGGAACTTAGCTCTTTCATCCCTTCTGTGTCCCCAGCGCCAAGCACAAGAGTCCGGCACATAGTAGGTGCCCAAGAAATATTTGTTGAGTGACTGAATGAAAACCGTTCTTGAGAGTGACTATATCCCAGGCTTCATAACAGACGAATCAAGTACCTTACTCTCCCTAAGTAGATCACACTTTGGAGGCACAAAGTAGGCCCACAGGTGGAAAGGGAAGGAACTTGGAGCCAGAGAGCCTAAGTTCACATCCTAGCTCCACCCCTTTCTCACTATGTGACTCCAGGCAAGCCAGTCTCCCTCCCTGGGCCTCAGTTTTCCCATCTGTAAATTAGGCTAAGAACAGCACTCACCCTGCCACGTTGCCCTTTGGCTTCAATGGGGTTGTTGTGTGGGAGGCTGGCGGCCTGTGACTAATTCTGAAAGCTGGTTCCCTTCCTGGAAGGGGGTGGGGTGAAAGGGGCAGGGCTGTGTGTTTTCCAACAGCCAACAATGGAACTCTTGTAGGCAGGGGCCCTCAGGCGTGGAAAACACATCCACCCCTATGGGTTCCAGATAAAATTTTCAGGTCTCAGAAGGGAGGTTTTCCAGGGCATTTACATCCTTTGATTGTTGCAACAAGAAATATTGGTTTGGGAACCTGAGCCCACTCCAGTGGGGTGGGCTCCCATTTTATCCTTCTCCCTGCAATGAACAGCTGTGAGGGCTGGGGGTGGGGGTGGGGGGTCTCTCTCACCTACAGCTCCTGAAGGTTGGACCAGATAGGCTAAGATAATCTTTGGGCCACAACGATTGGTCCAGTGGGGTCTAATCAAAGTGAGGCACAGAATTTTGCTTAGTAATTGAGGGAAGAAAAGATTTGGGTTTTGCTTTGAATAGTGGGAAATGCACATTTGGGACCTGGAAATAGCAGTCATTTTGCCACTACAGGAAGAGCCAACCGGAGGACAAAGCTAACACCAGAGAGGACCACAAGCCAAGAGAAATGCTGAGAAACAGAATCAGCACCCTGATCAAATCATGCCTGATCTCCCTCTGGAATTTTCAGTTATGAATCTAAAAATTTGGCTTGCTCGAGTTAATTTTAATGAGGTGTCTTGTTATTTGTAAATAATAACAATCAAACTAGTACACAGTGAAATTCTGTAGACCCAGAATCACTGCACTTTCACTGGAATATGTGACATGATTTTTATTTCGTTGGCCAAAGCATTTCTCTTAGCTTTAATCAGTCCAAGTATCTCTAGAAGCCAATAAGTGCTTACCTTGGCCAGGTCAAGTCTTTCTCTCTGTGGACAAATCTCAGACTGTTCGCCTGGATAGACATCTTTGAGAAGGACCAGCTCTCCTTCACAAGTTCCACCTGGAAAAAGGGCAGTGAGCCAGAGAAGCCACGGGACTTGGCAAAGACAGAAGCAGAGGTGCCTGGGAGCTCAACAGTCCTCCCATCGAAGGTGGTGATGTGCGAGTGCCCAGATGCCTGGCAGGTGCCAGGGGAGAGTGGGTGACCCAAAGATGCCTCTCAGGCTCCCACACTTCTGCCCAGGCCCACAGGAAGAGGGGGAACAGCGTGCACACGGCGTGGTTGGAGAGTGGCAGAATTGCTCTCTGTGCTCTCCAGCCCAAAAAACCTCCCTGACCAGGTGGTACCTGCCACCCAAGGAACAGCCACACTAGATGAGGGGCATGCAGTCAGGGCCCCTGAGCACGAGGCCCATGTCACAGTGGCAGCCCTCCTGGCGTAGTGTCAGGCAGCTGTCGGGCAGGGAGCCTCAGAGCTCATAATGGCTATAGGGAGGGCAGGCCAGCTCTGGAGGAATACAAATGGGAGTTAACAATTAGCCGAGCATTACCGTTCTGGAATGTTTCCAACCAGAAGAGGACTGAGGGAGTAGACGGCAGGTTGGAGGCCAAGGACAAGTCATAAGGGCAAGGCAGGGAATGTGGAGGCATCATCAGGAAGTATTGTGATGGTGGTGATGATGGTGGTGGTGAGGGTGAGGATGGTGGTGGTGATGGTGATGATGGTGGTAATGGTGGTGATGGTGATGATGGTGATGATGGTGGTGATGGTGATGATGGTGGTAATGATGGTGCTGGTGGTAATGGTCATAATGGTGATGATGGTGGTGATGGTGATGATGGTGATGATGGTGGTGACGATGGTGATGGTGAGGATAGTGATGGTGATGATGGTGGTGATGATGGTGATGGTGGTAATGGTGGTGATGATGGTGGTGGTGATGGTGAGGATGGTGGTAATGGTGGTGATGGTGGTAATGGTCGTAATGGTGGTGATGATGGTGGTGGTGAGGGTGAAGATGGTGGTGATGATGGTGGTGATGGTGATGATGGTGGTAATGGTCGTAATGGTGGTGATGATGGTGGTGGTGAGGGTGAAGATGGTGGTGATGATGGTGGTGATGGTGGTGATGGTGGTAATGGTCGTAATGGTGGTGATGATGGTGGTGGTGAGGGTGAAGATGGTGGTGATGATGGTGGTGATGGTGATGATGGTGGTGAGGGTGATGATGGTGGTGATGATGGTGGTGAGGGTGATGATGGTGGTGAGGGTGATGATGGTGGTGATGATGGTGGTGATGGTGGTAATGGTGGTGATGATGGTGGTGAGGGTGATGATGGTGGTGATGATGGTGATGGTGAGGATGGTGATGGTGATGATGGTGGTGATGATGGTGATGGTGGTGATGGTGGTGATGATGGTGATGGTGATGATGGTGGTGATGATGGTGATGGTGAGGATGGTGATGGTGATGGTGGTGGTGAGGGTGAGGATGGTGGTGGTGATGGTGATGGTCATAATGGTGGTGATGGGGGTGGTGATGGTGATGGTGATGATGGTGGCGATGATGGTGATGGTGATGATGGTGGTGAGGGTGAGGATGGTGATGGTGGTGGTGAGGGTGAGGATGGTGGTGGTGATGGTGATGGTGGTAATGGTCATAATGGTGGTGATGGTGGCGATGATGGTGATGGTGATGATGGTGGTGATGATGGTGGTGATGGTGATGGTGATGATGGTGGTGGTGATAATAGTGATAAGGATTGTCTTAGAAAACATTTCCTGAGCACCCACTATATACTAGGCCCTGCTCCTTCTAGGTGTTATCTCTTATAATATTCAATATTTTCTTCTTGAATTCACTGAAAAAACCTGAGTTAGCTGGAAACTGTGCAAGGTCATCATCACTCATCAATGGAAAGAATGACTGATAATTGAGCTGTTCCCAGAAGCTTGCTTTCCACATGCCATCTTGTTTATACCTCGCAACAATCTCATGAGAGAGAGACTTTCATCACCCCAGTTACAGATAAGGAAACTGAGGTCCAGAGACGTTCAGTAACTTGCTCAAATTCACACAACTACTGAGTGACAGAGTTGGGATTTGGAATAAAGCTATTCAACCCCAATGAGTCCTCATTCCCGCTTGGCAAGAACTAGCTGGAGAGCAGTGCCAATCCCTACAGGCAGGACACACGCTGGTCTCCCCCAGCCCACGTCAGCCATTTGCATGCCTGGCCCCACTGGCATGTGGGTTTCTGAGACTGGAAGGAGCGGCGAGCAGCAGGAAACTGGCTGGAGAGTGTGGGAAATGCATACCCTTCAGGATCCAAAGTGTAAAAAGAGGTGCAGGGCAGGAGGCAAGGATCAGGAGTGGGCGCCGGTCTACATGCGTGTCAAGTACTCAGCCAAGGGCTTGCGCTTCATCCTAAAGGCAGCAGGAATCAAAGCCACACACCTCCTGCTGACTCTCTGGGTGACCTTGCACTACTTCCCTAATGTCCCCGTGCCTCAGTCTCCTCACCCATAAGACAAAAGTCATAATAACACTTCCCTTGGCAGGTTGTTAAGGGGATTGAATGAGCTAATGCATTTGGGAGAGTGACTTACAACCACTAAATGCCCACGTGCTTCCTTGTCCCAGCCCCCCTTGCAAATAGGCGGGACCATGACTAGTTCTGGCCGAAGTCCTAGGAGCCAGGAGTGTGACTTCTGAGGTGAAGGACTGAAGAGTGGGGTGCACATGTTACCAGGGGTGGCATGACAGGATGGAATGTGAACTTGAACGATGCCCTGAATACTGTGGAATTTGTAGGAGAAGGAATCATCTTTGGCCATGCTGGGCCACCGGACATGTCAGGTTGGTTTGTTACTGCAGCAAGACCTAGACTATGCTGGCTGATCTGATAGTCCTCAGTTCCAGCTGTCATTATTACTGAAGCATTTTCAGTTGGGAGGGTCCTAAGGGGGACAGTTATCCAGCAGGGCATGCAGTGACTCCACTTGGGTGGCATTGACCTAGGAGGATATCCTGGAGGTGGTACTGGGCCAGCCAGTGAGATCAGGCTGAGAAAGGACCCCCGTGGTGACACCACTCACCGCAGGCCACCAGGGCTGTGCGGCGAGGCCATGTCCCTGGCATTCCTGGGTGCAGCTCCTCAGCATGGCGCACAAAGCTTCTTGCAAGCTCCCTGTGGCACAGAGGTCATGGACACAGTTCTCCACGTGGACCCGAGGCTCCATGTGCTCATTGTAGGCCCTGTGGGGCCTGTCGTGGGTGCCCGGCAGTCTCCAGAAGGTCCGATATAGGGCTGCCTGGTCCGGTGGGCACAGGAAAGGGTGCTAAGCCCGTGGGTGAGCCATGGGCGTCAGAAAAGTATATACCATTGGACCCAGTGAAATCATCCAAGACATCCATGTGAAAATCCCCACTGAGGCCCCAGAGGGCACAGGATTTGTGAAAGGCCATGGAGAGGCCAGAGGTCACCTGGACCATGATGGTTGAAGATGTGCAGAAAGCCCAGAGCATGACCCCAGCCAGAGGCAAGGGCAGGCCGATCTGGGACCTGCTCCCCGGCACAGAGCAAAACAGATGCCCGGGTGTGTCAGGTAGCCCTGCCCAGACACCAGCGCCTGGGGGCCCCTGGCTTCTGCCCCCATGATCCAACCCTTGCTCAAACCCTTCTATGGCTCCCCTGGTACACTCAGATACAATCCAAAGTCCTCACCACGGCCTGAGCAGCCCTTGGAGATTGGCCTCTGTCATCTCTCTGTCCTCATGTTCACCCACCCAGCCCCTCGCTCACTCTGCTCCATCCACACACCAGACCCCGTTCCAACCTCTGGACTTCTACAGTGGCTGTGCCCTCTGCCTGGAAAACTCTTCCCTCACGTGTCTATACCACTCCCTCTCTCACCTCCTTCGGGCCTCTGCCCCAATTCTTCCCCACCTCCCTGCCTCCACTGTCCTCTCTAGCCTCCTTCTCTGCCTTATTTTTCTCCAGAAGGAACCTCTGACATACTCGAGGCTGGCTTGAGTATTGGTTTATGGTCTTTTTCCCCGGGATTTTTGTCTTTTTTTTTTTCACCGAAATAAACAAAGTCCCC